CCCGGCCCCGGCGGAGGCCCCCTTCCCCCCAGCCCTGTCAGGCCCCCAGTTAACTCACGCCGCCGCCGGCACCCCGAAACGCGCGCCCAGGCACTGCGCCTGCGCACCACAAGGCCCCACTCTACGAGTCCGGGAGGCTCGGGGCTCGGCTCTGGGTGTCCGTCCCTCCGGGAGCAGTGAATTGAGGCACAGCGACCTCTCCCGGGCAGCGATATCTACGCCTGCGGCTGCGCGCACACACTGGCCCCAAGCTCATGCACCTGTGCTTAGATAAGGGCGAAAACTAAATATATGTATTTTCTTTATTTTTTTTGCATTGATTTGAGAAAGGCAGACAGACATGGATATGAGAGAGAAACATCCATCGGCTGCCTCCCGAATGCCACCAGGGATCAAACCCGCAAACTGAGCACATGCCCTGAAGGGGAATGGAACCCGCCACCCTTCTGCTCTAAGGGGGAGGCTCCAACCAACCCAGCCACACCCTCCAGGGCAAACCGCAATATATTTAGCACGGTGCCTGAGACATAAAGGTTTGCCATTAAAATTATTACTATTCTTACAATTTATTTTAAAATTATTAAAAATACAATCCATGTCAGAAAATTGTTTTAATGGTAATATTAATATATTAGTTAATATTCTATTAAAATAATCAAACTACCATAATTGGTGTATTAGTATGTTATAGATTAATAACATATTCTTACTATATGATAATATATAAAATGTAATCATCTAATAAGATAAAATAATTTATTGATAAACTATATAAATTTATAATAAATTACATATTATAATTGAGCTAAACCATGATGTGTTCTCTCTCACTATATGTCTCTCTCACTGTCTCTACAGGGCTGGGCAAAAGGAGGTTTACAGTTGTGAGTACACAAGTTTATTCGTGTTATTATTGTATTATATATTTTTATTATAACTGTAAACCTCCTTTTGCCCACCCCTGTGTATACAGTGCTGTGTATGCAGTAGCCCAAGCCCTGTATTGCATGTTCTCTTTAGAGAAGAAATGGGGTCCCCCTGGAAATTGGGAGAAGCTGATAGTGCTTCCTCCATTACAACAGATGATCTCTTGGCACTCGAGATGGTGCTTGATATAATTATAAACATGATTGTTATTTTGTCCTATGATCAACAGGTGCTCAGGCAAAATGGATTAGGACCCTTTCTCAGTTACCTCTTGTTGCAAGCCCAGAGTGGGAATCTTGTCCTCAAGGGGCTCTGGTTAAAATAGAACAAACATCAGGCAAAAGTCTCAGGTTGGATAAATTTGTGTACCATGTGGCACAAGCCAACAATAATGTGTGTTGTAGGCCGAATGTGTGTTCCCCCCAAATTCAAAAATTGAATCCTAATCTCCAATGTGATAGTGTTGGAAGGTGGCGTTTGGGGGAGGTGATTAGATCGTGAGGATGGAACCCATGTGATGAGATTAATGCCTTTATAAAAAGGACTCAAGAGCTCCCTCTCCCATTCCACCAGGTGAGGACACAGTAAGAAGTCAGCTGTCAGCAACATGGAAGGTTCCCACCAGAACCTAACCACGCTGGCTCCCTGATTTCAGACTTCCAGCCTCCAGAACTATGAGAAACAAATTGTGTTAAGCTGCCCAGTCTATG